CCCCTCCCGGCATCCACAGCTGGCTCCACCCCAGTCCCAGCGGCTAAAGCTGTAGATGTCACTGTCTCCAACAGTGTTCCTCAGGAGAACAGAGCCCACGGCAGTGCCCAGGCCTGGCCTTTTCCTCCCCTGCCCTGGGGCCTGGGGCATAAGGCTCTGGTAGTCTCAGGGTGCCTGAGGGGCAGCTGCAGGGCCTCAGGCCCAGACAAAGCATGCTAGGCAGAGATGAGGAGACAGACCCAGCTCCACAGGGCAGGGAACGCAAAAGTGTCAGGGGGCCATTCTGTTTGGAAGTGACAGGCGGCCAATTTTCCGTCACCAGCCTCCACCTCCCAGGATGTCAGTCTGGGTGCTGGTGGGGACTGGGAGGTGGCTGGGTTGAACTGGCAGTGGGGTGAGGAGGGAGAGGGGCTCTGCAAGGACTGAGCCCTGTCCCTTGGCCAACCTCACCCCCCTAATACCACAGGGCACACACAGGTGAGGGGAACACCAAGCTTCTCAGGTGTGCTGCCTGCCCAGTGGGACCCCGGTGTGTTTTGCCCTCAGTGGGCCCATCGCTGAGCCCCAGCCGTTCAGCCCATCTGCTCCTCTGTTTGTCCAGCTTTATCTGCTGGGTCAGGTTTCCTGCCAGAAACCAAATTCTATGTGCAATTAGAGAAAGAGATACCGCCCTGGCCCTGAGGGCCCAGAGAGCCTGTGTGTGTGTGGGGGGGGGGGAGCTATCTATCCCTCTGCAAAGCCACCAGCCCCTCATGGGGTTGGAGGAGGCAGCTTGCTCCATTAGACCCTAAGGCATGCTAGAAGGTCAGGAGAAGACTGGCCCCACCTTTTCTCCTCTGTGCCTTTTCAATACTGACTCAGTGTTTCCTGTTTCTCTCACCAGCACTCCCAGAGCCTGCAGGTGCTGACCTTAGGTAAGAAAGACTTCCTGCTAGCACTGAGCATGGTCATACCTGTGGTCTTGCAGGCCCTAAATGTCCCCACACTGGGCACTTGGAACTGACCAGCTGCACCCTGGGGTCCCCTTTCCCTAATGGTGCCCCTCTCTCCTTGCCACATGTCAGCTGTCGTCACCCTGCCTCTGCCCTGATCCCACCACACAGCCACCTCACGTCAGGGTCACAGATGTGTGCACACCTGGCCACCACCAGCATTTGCTGGTCTTAGTGGGCTGTTACAGGCTTCTTTGTCTGATGGTCTTAGGCCCCATTTGGCCAGAACTGGGACAGGATGTTCCTGGCCCCAAGTCTTCGACTGACTCAGAAATGCAGATGGTGGTTCTGTGTGTTGTGATCTTGTGTGGCAGAGCTCTGTGACTGCAGATTCCAGGCCACGTCTCACAGGGCACGAGTGTCCTGAGGAAGAAAGGAGGACAGCCCACTGCAGTGACATGTTGGTCAGAGCAGGAGGGGCCAGGCCTACCTCCCCGAGGCTGCAGTGCCCTCACCTGCTGGCTGCCTTGGGCCTTGCCAAAGTCTTTGGGGTGGGGGACGGCTAGAGGCAAAACCACCCCAATCCCTATGCTGGGCCGTCCCAGCACCACCCCACGTTGCCTGCAGACTGCAGACTCTGCAGGCCTCTTCCCGGGATCTCCGGTGCCATCCTCTTAGAGCTCAAAACACGAGAGAAGGAGGGGGGGGTGACGCTTGCTAAGGGTCCCCAATATGCCATGCAGGCAATGGGTGCCCCATTTAACTTTCACGAATTTCCTATGAGACAACGTGCCCGAGGCTCATCCGTGGAGGGGTGGAGGGGCTCCTGCCCCACAGCAGCTCTGGTGCTGAGGACACCATGGTGCCCAGCCCCCAAGACAGCAGGTAGGTGTGCCGCAGCATGAGGTGCCCATGCTGTGGGCCAGGCTGACAAGCACACCTCGATGGAAGTCTCTGTGAGCTCCCAGACTCTGGGTGGAGACAGAGAACATACAGGTTCCTGAGGGTTAATGCCGCTCTTTCCTGAGCAGCTCTCCACATGATGCCAGGGCCCCAGGGCCTCAGCTGGACTGTAATTCTTAGGGGTGGAGATTCTCACTAAACAGAACAACCCAGGGGCCAGGGCCACTTTATTCTTCTCTAGATGGTTGTTGAGCTATTGGCTTTTGCCACTCAGTAGAAAGGGAGGCCCCCAAAGTGTCCCAGAGTCCTTCCAGCTCTGGGGCTGTGCCTTGGATTTGGAAGGGAAGGGGCGTGGGAGTTTGGACAGAAGCTCAGAGCCCAGGCCTGGGCAGGCTTTGTGGTGGCCGGCCAGTACGGTCTTGATGTCAGGGACCCTCACGGAGGCTGTGCCTGCTGGTGCTCTTGTCCCATTTATGAAACTGAGGATGAGTGGGGTAAAGGTCATCTAACCAGAAGAGCGGAATCCCATGCCCTACAGCTCAAAGCCCGGCCCTGGTCAAGGGTGGTGGGGTGAGGATGGCAGCAGTCGGACCAGCACCCCTGAGCAACACCATGTGATCTCTAAGGGCCCTGGTCACAGGTGGGGAAGCTTCCAGGAGGAGGTGCCACTTCCTCGCCTGGGCCATGTGACAATGGGCCCTGGGCTCAGTCTTTGGGAAGCTCTGGCTTTGGTAATGGCAGTTAATTTTGGCACTAGATGAAATTATGGAAGGAGTTGGAAAGGCAAACCCAAAGGGTTGGATATTCTCTCGTAACTTTGAGGCTCGAAGAAAAAGTGACTCAAAATAGATTGGCTTTGAAACACTTTACGAGAGGACAGCCAACATGAGCGAGGCTGTGTGAGCACCAGGCCTTGTCTACCTTCTTTAGTATTACGGGCCAACCTATGGACTTGGTAACAGCAGCACCTGTCTAGTTTCCTATGTGTAAACTAAGGAAACTATGTGTAGCATCCTAGCAACAGCGTCTTCAGCAGCTCTGCACGTTTCTGAGAACCAGTACTTATGTGAAGTGGAGCAGACTGTGCCAAAGCGCCACACGCATCCCACGAGATGGGAGCCGTTGTTGCCTGTGGCCATGAGCTGCCTGCGGGAATGTGACCTGTGGCCTCTGGTGGCTCAGCTCTGTGCACGTCGCCCACTGTGAGCATATCCGTGCCACAGGAATGGGCAGACAAGCAAGACAGGACTTTCTCCCAGGTACAAGCAGACAAGCCCCGTTCCGGTCAGACTTCCCCTGTGGGTGCCGGCACAGGGAGTGTGACCACAGAGAAAGCTCTTTGCTGTGTTCTATGTAAGGAGCTGCATGCAGGACTCACTCCGTGGGTAAGGGACTTGGGCCCCATTGTCCCAGACTCTGTGTCACCTCTCCCGAGCTGTCTCTTCACTAGCTCAAGCACAGCCCCTTGTTGTCTGGGGAGCAGCATGGGGTTGTGATGAGGTGAGCTGCAGAGAAGCTGGGACAAGTGAGCCCTCAGCTCCTTCTGCCTCCAGAGCCGAATTTAAGTGTCTAAGAGAAAACACAGGGGTCTGGTGGTTTTTACCTTCGAGCCGGTAAAAAGGTGCCAGACACTTTTTTTGGGTTTTAGTCTGGGCCCATCTGTTGCCAGAATGCACTGTTCGCAGCCAGACCCTCGGTCTCCAGGATCTGCTCAGTGCTGACCACGCCAGGCCCTCCCGAGCCCACCCATCCCAGCCGCCTCTCCTAGTAGCCCTCCCAGCTCTCCACACAGGCTGGGCTGGCAGCCAGGTCTCTTCTGAATTGGTGGGCAGAGGTGTGTCTTAGAGCAGGTGACGTGCTGGGGGCAGTGCCAGTACCCCACAGGCCTCCCCGGCAGCTGTCACCTAATTGCCTGATTAGCTCAGTGATTAATCGACTAATTGGGACCTCAGCTTCAAATCCCCCATAACAAGGAGCTTTTGTGGAAAGTCTCAAAACTAGTTCTTGAGAGTGTGAAGCAAGTGTAGGGCACAGACTGGACGGACATGCAGACCAGGGGACAGTGGCCACAGCTCTGTGTCCACAGAAGAAATCCACAGTAAAAAGTGGCGTGTCTTCCCTCCCTCCCTCCCTCTATCGCTCCTTCTGTCTTCTTTTAAAAACAATGAAAATCAGCACTGAGATCATCCATGAGGCCCCAACATGGGGGCTGCAGGCAGTCTTCCCACCAGACACCCTGATCCCCCAAAGGCCACTGCTGAGCTCAGGGTGGGGCTTTGCCTCCACATACTGTTCTGTTTCTCCCTGACCGGTCAGTAGGTGTGGCCTCCTGGCCAGTTGGGCCCCACAGCTGTCTGCACTCATGCCTGGGATCAGTCAGGTTAGAAATCACTGGGGGCATCTGGAAGGAGGTCAAGGGTGGGCCCCTCTCTGGGTTCCAGAGGCCTGAGGTGTCAGTGGCCTGGACGCTCCTTCCTTCATGGCTCTGGGAATGTCTGATCCAGGGTGGGAACTTGTTGCTGCTCCTGTTAAAAATAAAGCCTTCTCATCTGGACAGGGGCACCTTGGGGTGACGCCTTTCCAGGAGAGGCTCAGCCCCCCTCCTTTAGGTGACCTCCCACAGGTTCTCCATCTTGCTGAGTATCAGTTTGCTGCTTCCTAAAATAGGGTGATAACAGCTCTTTGCAGTCACTGGTCTGTGGATGTGTCCAACAGCCCACAGGACACTGACCCCACACTCCACACAGGCCCCCTTGCTGCCCTGGGGAGCCAGCTCCTGGGGAAGTGGGTTGGGCGCTATGGTCTGTGTTTATGATCAGAAGTTTCTGGAGCTGCCCATGGTTTGGTCCTGTGGGAAGAGATGATAGTGAAGGGTGAGGAGCTCCTGGGGCTCTTGCCCACCCACATTTACTCACCAGCCCTGAGGCAGGGGGGCTGTGAGAGGCCCAGCATCACCCCCACTGAGGTCTCAGGGCAGGTCCTCCTGGTTTTGCCGTACCAGGTTTGGGTGCCTCCAGCCTGGGGCAGGTGTCTTGGCCATATCTACGTGTTTGTACGGTCCTTCCTGTGTTGGCCCAGTGTGCCAGGCGAGGGCATACTGGGCGAAGGCTGCAGAGACCACGGCTCAGAGCTGCGGGACATCAGTGATGTTGGAGAGTCCCAGTGTCTGTGCTTTGCCCTTGGGCCGGCCTCAGGCACTGGTCCTGTGGTGCCTCAGAGTGTCCCGTCCCCTTGGGACACTTTGCCTGCGATGGAAAAGATTCATGTGTGGAAAGAGAGCCTCCTAGGAGATGCCAGTGCTGGGAGTCTTATCTCAGACATAGGGATCTCTAATTAAACACATTCATAAAACTGTAATGAACTGTTCATTTATTTAAGTGGGGGGAATTATTTCATTAATTTTTAGCCAACTGCAAGCATCCATTCTGAGATGGACAGTTTGGAGACAATCTTCTGCTCCCCAGGGTGAGGGTCTGGGTAGGGCCCCTCCCCTGAATGACCACTCCACTTGTCTCCCCAGCTGCCCCACCCCAGGATGCACGGGCTCAGGACACATCCGCGGCAAGTACTCCAGGCACCGAAGGTAAGGAGGCCTGAGGGCCCTCACCACTATTCCTGGGAAGGAGGGTGGGCTGCTGGGGTGTTGGAGCCCACCTAGTGCCCTGGGCCTTTTGTGGATCCACGTTTGCTCACGAGTGCTGTGCTGCAGTGTCCTCCCACTCGACCTGTTACTGAGGGGCCTTCACAGCTGAGGCTGAGTGTTGCCATGGCGTGGGTGCGAGGTCTCCCTGACAGGCTGCTGTGAGGCTGTGTGAGTTGAGCAGCAGAGCTTGGAACAGACCTGGGGTGCATTGGGATGATCTGAGTCATCCCGAGGGGTCTGCTGGACCTCAGGGACCCCCACTGCCATCCAAGGTTCAGAGGGTGGGTGAGGGTATGAAGGGTGTGCAGGTGGACAGGGGTGGGCCTGGGGGGGTGCAGAGCAGAGCAGCGGGTGCCGGCCCCACCCTCGGGGGTCTTCTGAGAGAAGCTGAAAATGCCATTTAAAGCACAGTCAGGACAGTTCACTCAAGTCTGGAACCAGCCTGCCAGTGAGTTTGGGGCTTCTAGCGGAAGGATGGCAATAAGATACCAAGAGAAACAGGGTGAAGGGTGGGAGGGGGCCCGGGCAGTATTGACGGGGTGGCCACGACCCGGTCCCCTCCTCCAGTTTGCAGAGCTGCCCTCTGGCCAAGAAGAGGAAGCTGGAGGGCGCCAAGGCCCAGCACCTGGTGTCCAAGCGGAAGTCACACCCCCTGAGGCTGGCTCTGGATGAGGGCTATGGTGTAGACAGTGACGGCAGCGAGGATGCCGAGGTGAAGGACGCCTCTGTTTCCGATGCGTCGGAAGGAACTCTGGAGGAAGACGAAGCTGAGATGTCAGGACAGGAGGAGATTCATCGCCCAGGGCCAGCTGAAGGTGCTTTGTTGTTCTTTCTGCCTCGAATAAAGGATGCTCAGTGTGTCCCTGGAGAGTCGCAGCCCGTGAGCCGGGAGGCCCCGCCAAGAACGCCCTTCCTGAGAACAAGCGATGTCCTGTCCCACACCGGCTGGGCTTCCTGGAGAGGGCCGGCGGCTGCATCTGTGCAGACACTGTGTGTGTGACTGTGCGTGTGACGAGAGATGACGGACACATGGACATGGCTGTGTGTCTGGCCCTTGGGAAGAGCTGCCTGGGGCTGGGGCGGGGGTCTGCTTGGCGTCTGGCGAGAATGAGAAGGACGCCTGCTTGCACCGTCTTTCCTGTGGGGCACCCAGCCCTTGGCAAATGCTGATGTGAAGGCCCCGGGTCCAAACCCCTCAGCACCCCTGAACTTCTGGGTCTGAGGTGGATTATTTTAAATTTTGGAGCATATCCTGGAGGGTGTCCACACTTGTCTCCCTCTGAGGCTCTGGCTGTGCCTGAAGTGTGTGTGGCCTCCTGGGCTCCAGGTAGGAAGCACTAATTACAAAGGAGGGAGTTTGGGGTCCGGTGTCAGTCTCCCTGCTCGGTCCCCTGGAGCATGGACTGCAGGGCTGGCCTCTTGGGCTGCCAAGACCTTGCGGAAGACTCCACAGGGCTGTGCATGGGGAGCACCCTACATCTTAGTCATGGTGGTGAAAATGTTTAAATTTGGGTCCTTTATTTTTTTTATTTTTATTTTTTATGTTTTTACCCTCACCCGAGGATATTTTTCCATTTCTTTTCAGAGACAGTGGAAGGGAGAGAGAGAGAGAAACATCGATGTGATAGAAATGCATTGATTGGTTGCTTCCTGCACGTGCCCTGACTGGGGCCAGGGATCAAGCCTGCAACTGTGCCCTTGGCAGGAATTGAACCCGGGACCCTTCAGTCTGCGGGCCGATGCTCTAATCACTGAGCCAAACTGGTTAGGGCTGAGTCCTTTAAAAAGTATAAATTTGTTTACTGCTTTTTGATTTTGAAACAATTTTAAAAAATCTGATGTATTCTTTGGTCTCGCTTTGGTGAAATGATTTGAGAAAGTACCGCAATTGCTTTGAAAACAGAGTAGTCGTTACTCCGTCTACTCCTAAAATAAGTTCAATGTGATCTCCCGACCTAGGCAGGGGCTGTGACTAAAACGACCTCACCGTGTCCCCATTTCTAGGGGTTTGTGTTCCCCGGCTGTGGCAGGTGGCGGGGCAGGGGCCCGGACACCCACCCTTCCTGTGCACCCCTCCACGTGGCTTTTTTGGTCTTGTGCAGGAAGCAGCCCCATCCAGCCTCCTTGTGGTTCCGACCCCATGGGCAGCCCCACAGGCTCCTCCACAGGCAGCTGCAGCAGCTGTCAGGAGATCATCGCAGCTTCTCTCCTGAACCTGGGCCAAGTTGCAGAAGAGGCACTGGCCGGGGAGGGCCTGGGCCAAGACGCCATGCCGGGCCCCGGTGTCCAGCCCCTGGTTCAGGAGGAAGTGGAAGAAGGGGCCACCAGCGACGAAGGGGAGGAGGGTGTCTTCATCCAGCCGGGGGGCGCGGAGGGAGTCATCGGGGTCGCCCGTGCGTGCTCCCGGGAGCTGTGTCCCCAGTCCCTGGAGGGTGTGACCAGCGAGGAGTCCAGCCAGCCCAGTGTGTCCCTGGGTCCCGAGGAGGGGGAGGAGGACACTCCCGATGTGACCTGCCAGGGGGGCGCCCCCCAGGCCCTCCCCCAGAAGGCCCCCGAGCCCCGCAGCCCTGAGCCGGAGGGCTCCATCACAGTTGAGCTGCACTCTGAAGACAGCAGGGACGAGGTCCCGGACGAGTCTGAGATGTACGACGTGATGACCCGGGGGAACCTGGGCCTCCTGGAGCAGGCCATCGCCCTGAAGGCCGAGCAGGTGCATGCCCTGTGCCAGCCTGCGGAGCAGGGCCCAGGCGAGCCGCTGAAGGCGGCCAGGCCCCTGGATGCCACGCGGAAGACCTACTGCAGCAAAGGTAGGGCTGGTGCCTGCTCTGCACACGCATCCTCCAGTCCTTCACCCAGGATGCCCAGGTGTGCAGATACAGGTCCAGGAGAGACATGGCCTGACGCCCTTTCCTGCTGGGAGGGCGGCGGATGCAGATGAGGGACAAACAGGCACACGACCACAGAGTCTGGTCATTGAACCTGAAGAAAGGGCTCCCATGGCTCACAGAAGGTCATCGGAGAGAAAGACAGAGCTGAGGCACTAGCTGAGAGGAGGAGGGTGGGAGGGACAGTGACCCAATTCAGTGGCCCAGCCACAGCCTGGGGGACCCACTTGGGTTGTGGAGGGCACAGATAGACCTGGGGGACGCACCTGGATCATGGAGGGACACACAGGGCCATGTTTTCTGGAAACACTCACTCATGAAACCAGCTCAGGGGAAGATATTCAGGGCCACAGCTGAGAGTACACAGAGGGGGACATTATTGCAACCTGAGGATAGCTGTCAAGGGGAGACCCTTTCAGGGCGGCACAGACTTGAGGGATAGCAGTTTGGGGGCTCACATTCAGGCCAGCACAGGCTCATGCATAGGCCTTGAGAGGACATGAACACAAGGAGACACACGTGAAGGTGACGTAGACTCAGGGATGATGTAGGGTGTCAGTTGGGGGTGGGCTTGGGGCCCACAGATCAGGGACAGTGTTGGAGAGGAGAGTGACTGGGGACACAGACAGAGGGACAGCTCCAGGCCCAAGTGTTCAGGCACTCATACCTATGGGATGGACATTAGGAGATCAGATGTAGTGTCCTGCTTTCAGGGCTAAAGTTGAGGGCATGGACCCGTGGGACAGACGCAGGTGGCCGAGCTAGGAGCGTTAGGCAGCGCCACGCAGGCCATGTGGAGCTGATGCTGAGGTGCAGACATGGGTGCCCTGCACAGAGGCCAGCTCAGAAAGCAGGTGCTGGGAGGGATTTGTGAGCCGTCCCTGTGTGTGTGGCTCTGTGGTGTCTGGGTTCTCCCAGAGGGGACAGCTCTGTCCAGGAGTTTCTCAAGGGCATAGGCTATGTTGGAGATCATCAGTGTCCTCTCAGGTGTCCCCTTTGGTCCCCCACACTCACTAGTGACCTCTCTGGGCTTGCAGAGGCTAGATAAGCCCAGTAACTGAGATTTGGGCTTAAATGTCTGCCCAGGCGCTTGTTTGTCATGTGACGTTGGGTAAGTCTCTTCACTTTGTTCTCATGTTGTCAAATCTAAAGGCTGCCTTTAGATTTGCAGGGGGCTTGTCACATTACCTTTACCTTCCTATGCAGAGGCTGGACCTCAAGGGTGGGGCTCCGGGAAGGTTTGCCCCCACTCGAGCTGCTGGGAGAGGAAGTGGTGCCAGCCCCTATGTGGGCTGCCCTTCAGATCACTGTGCACCCTGCTGTCTGGGGCAGTTTTGTCCATCTCTGGTCTTCTCGTCTCTGGGCAGATAGCTGGTGTGGACCAGTTTCTCCAGAGTCACCTCACTGTCCAGCCCAGGCCCCTCTGGGCACTTGGGCAGCCTGGCCAGTCTCCCCTCTGGATGGCCAGAGAAGGGTGAACTGTCCCGCCCCCTTGCTGCTCATCACCCGCCACATGGCTTCCTGGCCACCTTCCGACTGGTGTGTCATGTCTGTTTAGATTCCTCAAGAGCAGAGAAACGGGAGATCAAGTGTCCAACACCGGGCTGTGACGGAACTGGCCACGTGACGGGGCTGTACCCTCACCACCGCAGCCTGTCTGGGTGCCCCCACAAGGACAGGATCCCTCCGGAGAGTGAGTAGCTCTGCATAGCTCAGGGGACCTCTGATGTTCGGACGGTGTCCATGTGGGGGAGTGGCCACTCGGGGCTCTGTCCTTTGGATTGGTACTGTCCCAATGCCCAAACTTGAGCCCTATAAGGCTGGGGACATGGAGCATGCTCAGTCATCCTCCTTGAGATGGCAACTTGGATCAGGGCCCCCAGAAGTCGGGCATGGTTTGGGCATACCCAAGGGACACGAGGCAGCCGGCTGTGGAGAGGCTGCGCCTGTGCTGAAGGCTCAGGAGGAAGCCTGTCCTGTCTTCTGGGCTGGAGGCAGTAGCTGTGACCAAGAGGTTGGCAGCCAGAGGTTGTAAAGCTGAATCCGTTTCTGCCCCAGGCAAGCAGGGGGCATGGTGGGTGTGTGCGCCATGCCTGGGCTGAGGCTTGGGGGCTGGAGCCACCAGACCTGTGCTCCCAGGTGCTATGTGCCCACCCCACGAAGCTGCGGCCTTTGGACGGGCTCCCGCCCCCTCCTGCCGTGCTCACCCCCC